AATATTAGTACATACTAAATAGAGATATTAATACACTCCACCAATCGAGATACTCAAATCCTTCTCTCAACAATGTAATTCTTCTATAAAATAGCATATCAGTATAAATTAAGTTATTAAACATTATATAGCAACCAAAGTATGTATGTGCATATAAATAACTCACGTATCAAATTTAAGACAATCTAAAATATAATAAAGCTTCCATGCTTCAATGGTAAAACTATAAGGCCTCACACAATTAATGCACTTAATTTCTTCATCAACTTTGATCTCCCGTCTGAAACATACGTTACTTCGATGACCGAACTCATATTTACATACATCATCATTTAAAAATTCTAGCAAAGTTAAATCACCTAATTTGGTTCCAAGCTTAATCGGACATAGCACATCACATCTTTCCACCGATGCTGTAAAACTAACGCTATGATCGCTAAGAATTTGGTTAATGTCATCGTACGTATTACAGATAGAATCGTCAATATCGAATACAAAAGTAAACGTCTTAGTATAATCGTCATAAGTTGGTGGTAATTTTTGAGTCCATTTAGCATTATTCCAGTATTTTAACTACAATAATTAAAGGTGATGATTTATTTATTAAAATTTAATACATGAATTTATCTTTAAAAAAAATTTGGTTTATTTGCCTCAACTTTTAAACCAGAGTTTAATCTAGAAATAACAGCTTCGTGCATTACTAAGGGAATAAATGTGTTCCATTTTTTGCAAACAGTTCGCAGAGTGCAAAAACCCTGAAAACTATTATTTATTAATATTAAATTAATAAATAAACTTTTAGTAAAAATGATTATATATAATACAAGCTCACTTTATTTCATTAACAACATGCGTTAAAATTTCAATTTGCAATTCATTAGGAAGAATTTGAATCATTTTGAATTCTAGATGAAGCACTCACCTTTTTAGTCAGTCGATTTATAATTTCGGCTTAATCGTCCTTACCATGTTTAGTATGTAAGGTGTAACTATTCACCGTGACGTGAACTTTATATCATTATATAGTAATAAATAATAGTATTCATAGACTTAAATCAAAAGAATCCTTGCAGATGAAATTGGTAACGTGAATAGTTATATGTACTGTAGCATGGTTACCAATGATGGATGGAATTAGAGTAGCGAATAACTACCCATACCACAATTCGATTTGGATACACCGTATAAAGACAAATATGTTCTGCTATATCTACTTGGCAGAGTGGTTTATATTCCTAGCTTACTCCAAAGTATAATACTCTATTAACAGCACTAAGCCAATCATACAGAACTTATGCAGAAAGATCCAATAATTCTGGAATTCATCAGAATCGAGCTGCATCTTTCTTCATGATCGAAAATCGAAAAGTTGGCCATGTTGGCAACTAATTGATTTAAAACTTTCGAAGCAACTAATTGTTAAATGTAAATTAATACAAAATAAATATGTGATTTTACAGCTAATTAATAAAATTAAAATATGACAACTAATTATTAATTTACGAAAATTGGACAAACTAATCAATTAGAAAACAATTTTGCAGTTTCGAATCACTAGTTATAAAATATTTTATTATTTATCGCTAGTACTAGTTATGCTGTAGCTATAACATACGTATACAAGTTCTAAATGTTGAAAAAGGTCATCGAAAAAGATTGTGACATTACATGTAAGACTTAGCTGGACTTTATGTATGTACTGTTTAACATGTAATTTTAATAACACTAAGCTTATACGAACACTTAAATTTTGTGCATTCCTAATGTTGCAGAGCGAATCATTAAGGTAATAGATATATATAGGCTAAAGATCTTGATCTCTAGTAAAGGTTGTGATAGCTTAAAATAAGGATAGAATAACTATTTAAATAATTAATAAAGAGTAGTAATAATGATAATAAACTAGGTGATGATAACGTTACTGTATTCGAAGCTCATTACGTATACGATTAATCATGTACTTAACCAATCAACATCATGGAAGCAGACAGACCTCAGATAATTTTAAATAGAGAGTTGAGTATTACATTGGGAAGAAAGTTTGGACTGTTCTGCGTGGAGTTACAGAAGTGTGTTTTGAAGAGTTAGATCCACTTGGTATACTTAAAAAAAAAAACAACTATAAATCACTGACCTTGTCGTTATTCAATTCTAAGCCAATTATCAAGCCCTAAGAATAATGTCATGATTTCTCTATGTAAAAAAATGATTCATTGAAAGAGATCAGCAAAATGCCACAGAATCTTGTTTCGACTAGCTTTTCTACGCTGTCATGTGTGGTGATTGCTGTCAATTTTTGTATTCAGTAAAACTTCTACAGCGCTTGGCTGCCAGTTTAGGCGTAGAATGCAGAATACGTTTCAATAGCCACTCATGATTAACCACAAAGATCAGTTATACGTGGTTGATATTTAAATTCTGATTATGAGCATTCTGACGGCTAATATCAAATACATAATTAATCAAATAAAAAGAAAACAGTGCATTTGAAAAAAATCTTTTATAAAAAAAAAAGAATTTTTATATGAAGCTTAAGGGTAGGGTGTCCGTAGATCATTTTTAATAGTAATCATGTAGTACTCATATGAAATCATGTGATTGACCAATCAGAATCGTAAAAACAACAAATTTG